CAAGCCCCTCATAAGGGCACTCCCCAAAATACATGTTCACTTGATGATTGGCCTCGCCGCGCCGCCTGAAAGTCGAATGGGCGGGCTTGAAGAAGGGGCATCGCGTAGAGAAGCCGGTCCCTGCTTGGCCTCAAGGAACAGCAAGCAACTACCTTTCGTTTTCTCCCCAATAGCTCGAGTTGTTTTCTTGAGGTTTGTAAAAAAGGGGTGCATACAAAGAGAATGAATTTCAAGAACCTAATTTATATAATAAATTCAATGTGGTCCGTTCGATGTGGCAGTACACGCGCGAGGCTTCGTATGGGATCCACCGTGTTCGATGGTTTAGATTCAGTTTAATATAGGCACTACACTTATAATTAGTTTCCTGCATAAGACACGATTGTGACTTCGAAACCCTTTAGTCAGAGGCTTGCTGTGCTGGAGTGCTTTTGATGCTTTGAGATAAAATCCTCACACCCTCTTGTTCTCCTTATGCGTAGCATTCTCTTGTTTGCTTGATCGAGAAGAATGAACAAGAAATCATGAAGAACTTAGTGTGTGCCCGAAGCTTTTGCAAAATTCTTAAGAGACCAAACAGAAGTACTGAAAACAGACATATTCAGAAGGCAAAAACAGAAACGATGTTCTTCTTCATCTTTTTTCTCAAACATCCCATTCTCTTGTGCTTTCTTGGATCATCATTGACAGTGTAACCCAACAAGGCAACCTTGGTCCCGAATTTGCTTTTGCAAAAGCAAACGTTGAAATTACTTCATCTCCCATGCCAAAAGATGGAGCTTTGCCCCCAGTAACGGAAAGGGAAAATTCATAACCAATCTCTATCAAAGACTGGAAATTTCCATTCTCTCCTGCCATGCCTTTTGTCCACCCCCATGCCGATCATCAATTTGCCTGCGACTAGAAGGTATGTTTAGCTGGAGATTGTCCACCAACTGTGCATGAATCGTATAAACTTCTCTCTGTCTATCTGTCTGTCTGAGATATCCAATGTCACCTTAACCACAAGGGACTATGGCATACTTAGAAATTAGGAGGCTAAGTGATTAACTTAGACACGAAGGTATATAACTAGACACATTTTCTTTTTGCACACGCATCACCTAATCGATGGCATGCGTGTAAAGTCACTATTCGACTCAATTCAAGTACACACAATAATTTTGTCTAAACATTCAAGAGAGGCATTGTAATGAACATTTAATAACTGTTACTGCAAGATTGATGTCATGAATGGTGAGTATTAAATTCGTGGAGATCGCATTATTCGGGGGTTTGGACATGGTTACTGATGGGTCCTACCTATGCTCTCATACCTAGAAGATAAAAGAGAAAACATGTCCTGCATGGATCCAAGGATGGGGTTTCTTGGCTGTCGAAAGGAACGAGTAATACTTCTTTGCCAGAGAAAATTGCAGCCAATAGTTTCTGTCTCTCTCGTTCTCCTTTCACGAATTGAGCTTCCCCACATGGCAAGCTGACAAAAACCTTCAAGAGGCCTAGACATGTCCAAGAAGAAGATAAAACTAGTTGTCTGTGGATACAATAGCCATCATGTATCAGCACTGAACCCTACCACCCATACCAAACACCAAACAGTTCACCCATCAATCAATTTCATCACACTCACCCATTACTGATCACTTACATTTCTCCTTCTCTTAAACCCAACTTCATGCTTTTCTTTTTTTGGGACTATGGGTCTAGAGTGAAAGGACCATAGACCCTCTTGAGAGATTGTCGAGAGTGAATGATTGTTGATCACCAAAATACTTGTGCAAGGGCATCCATACCATTGAGGACATTACCCAAAGAGGGTAGAGATTCATTTCTCTTTACCATGAATTGTGGAGAAAAATGTCAAAAAAGTCCTAAACTTTTTGCATTGGTGCCAATTTAGTCATAAACCTTTTTTTTTTGTGCCAATTCAGTCCTAAACCTTTTGCATTGGTGCCAATTCAGTCCTTCCAGCTAATAGCTATTCAAGTGTCGAAAGACTGAATTGACACAAATGCAAAAGGTTTAAGACTGAATTGGCATAAATGCAAAAAGTTTATGACTGAATTGGCACAAAAAAAAGGTTTATCACTGAATTGAAAAAAAACGCAAAAGGTTTAGGACTGAATTGACACCAAAAAAAGGTTTATGACTAAATTGGCATAAATATAAAAGGTTTAGGACTTTTTTGACACTTTTCCCAGAATTGTGTAGAGTAACGCTGGCAAGATGTAGTGTAAGTGTAAAATATAGCGGGGGAAGATAGATTTTTTATGGAGAAAAAGGACAAACGACATTACAATGCCAACTGCCAAGGATTGTCCCTAGGAGCATCCGGAGGATTAACCCATTCCTTCAAAAGCAAAGCGATCCATTTCATCGCGTATTTAAGATCATGTGAGCCCCATTTGAGGCTCTCACGATCTGATGGTTGCGATTATCCCAGTAAAATTACAAGTAGATGGGTGTGAATTTTATCGACATTCAAGAATGGTACAAATAGGGCGCAACTTCTATTAGGTTTTAAGCATATTCCGTGAACTACTCTCAAAATCTTGCAAAAAGAAAGAAGGTATAATCTTTCTTTAGATCAAGCATATCTCTAACTATACCATGAAGATTATGGACAGATATGCTTCAAGAATAATAAAATGATTTCATTAGCTAAGTACGACTTTTTAGGAGAGCTTCAAAGGTAGTGGAGTGTACTTCTCCTTCGGTGGTCCGCCATTAACAGGCCATAAAGAATGGCTTGCATACAAAGAAATGAAGACAACTTGAGATCATAATCACTAAGTGTTTCACCTTAAGGGGAAAACCAAAATGATATCTCAAGTATCTTAATGCAAGTTTATTAATAATTATGCTGTGTACTGAGAACTCATTTGAAAAATTCAGAAGGAAAGAAATAATTTTGCGGAGTCTCAAAAAATTTAAAATAATATCCATCAGGCCTCCATGATGAAGGACATGGGTCCTCACTCCCCAGATACTTACATATCTCCACGTAACCTAATCCTATCCAATGTTTGCTTATCAGAAAACTTATATTCATGTCAACGATAAGGCCGTTTCGTTCTAGTCACATACCAGAAGAAATAATTTGGGATAACTCATAGATCGATTATATACAAGTACGCATATGCCCGACGCGAATTGAATCAAGAAGTGTAACAATTTGAAATTTATATCATGTTTGTGATTTGACCCAGTCAGTCCAAAAAAGAAAAAAAGAAAAGAAAATTAGTTTTGGTCGACTTATATACAAACTTTGTAGCTGGTAATGGTTGGTGTGTCTCATACAATTATATTAGACCGTGACATTAAGATATTACGTAATGTAGAGGTTGATCTTGTGAAGAAAACCTATGACATGTCTAGAGTACCCTCCTCCAATTGATTTTGATCTCCAAATGGTATTTGTTTTGCTTCAAATGCTGCTGTCATGTTCTTTTGGATGTGCTTGGCAACAACTTTGTAGTTTATAATTTCATGAAACGAAGTCAAGATAGAATGTCCTTAAGGGAAATTGAGTTCATCTTACTAACTAGCAGCTACATTCAATTACATGATTCTTTCTATGATCTCTGTTTTTCAGGTTCAAACTTGAAAGATTTTCCCAGGATTTTTTATTCGATTTGACTTTTTGATGAAGCATATAGCTTACCAGACCAACGGACTCAAAGACTCGTGAGGCTTGACAATAGAATTTTGCTTCAGTGACAAGTTTTTTCACTTTGTTCTATTTTTCAATAAAGGAGCATCTATGGATTAAAGGTTTGGTACATCATACCGTAAATGAAATTCTCATCATTGGAGACATCGCGAACTTTGAATCACTTGGCTTTGCGATGTACACAAACCGGAAGATTTAATATCAATAGTTACTCCCCTAATATTATTCAGCCTTCTTTCTCTCAGTAGAAAGTAGAGAAAAGATACGCAAAATTTGTGTAATCAAGGCTGCAAATCAACGGTGAAGAATAAAAATATTTGGTCAGGATTCTTTGAATAGCACCAACCCCACTTACTCTTGGTACAGTGACCAGGCATAAACAAAAATACCAAATAACACATAAGTTTCTCTGTCTCGAGACTTCAGACGGATAAATAATGAACATCAATGTCATATTTTAAGCCAAGAAGCATCGACTGTACATGTTCCTCATTCGGTTTTTCTTCCTCTATTGATCAGCGAAAGAAAAAAAATAGCGTGGGTTTAGGTTGGACGAGTGCCAGAAGCTCAATGCGAACCGCGGTTTCAACCTGAAATGACAGCAAATTGAGAGGCAAACAAACATGGTAATGCTGTCATAAAGAAACATCAGGAAGGCCAGAGGATGTAATCAATGAAAAGATCGGTCCACCTAAAAGGCATTGAAGTGGTGAACAAAAAACAGGACTATTTTGTTCAAGAATCTAGAAAGCGGAGACAAGGAAGAGTTGATCTTTCATCACATTAAATTCATTGAAAGCTAAAAAGCAGAAGCTTTAGGCAAAAGAACAAAAGCTCAGGTCGGTTGTTGAAACGGCAAGCCCCACAAGTCAAATTACATGATGAGGGGTAATCTCATGCCTGCTGCGTCATTTCATCTTTTATTAAAACCGAAAAAAGATTGCAAATGAAGGTCGATATGACACTTGACTTTTCTGTTTTCTTTTTGCCTTTACTTTTGGGTTTCTTTATTTTATGACAGTTGCTTCCAAGGCCAACCAAAATTGTTGCCATGGATTTCGCTCATGATTTTCCTGAAAATTGTGACCTGTTGATTACGCGTCTTAAGGTTTCGTACTTCAAGGGGTAGCACTAATCATCCGTTGTTAGAGCTCTAATAAACTTCATCACAGCAATACCCTCTCTCTCTCTCTCTCTCTCTCTCTCTCTCTGCATAAAAATAATTTCCTGACCCATACGTTTATTCTTGCATCGTTTGTACCAGCAGAGGCCCAATAACAATTCAAAGTCTCTCTCTTCATTGTTCCGAACATATATGGTGCCTCAAACTTAGAGGAAATATTGAGGAAATATGTTTATATAGGCCTCTTGCTCAAGCCACTTGCTTCTTCTTCTCCTCTGACAGCAAAGAGACAATTCCCTTCTCTTTTCATTCAGAGAATTAAGAAACCTGAGACTCTGGTCTGGTTTAAGAATGTTCTTAGATCCCGTGACATCTTCAAGCTTTTGAGAAGTGTCTCCTCTACCAAGTCCCATTTGCTCCAAACTTCCTCTCACACTCAACATTCTTGAAAAATCTCAAAATTTCCTTAACCAACAACATCTTCTGATTCTTCCGGCTTTCTGCAGTCAAGGGATGTGCTCGGAAATAAGTAGTCCTCCTCGTATGTCATTTTCATATGATGCAGGACCAAGAGATATCACAACTATGGAATCCATCAAGGCTGAATCAGGTTCCTTCTGCCTTTCGGACAGGAACTCCGATTTCGAGTTCAGCATCTGCCAAAGCTTTGACTATGAATCTTCTTCGGCTGACGAGCTTTTCGCGAATGGCATGATTCTTCCGGTCCAGATTCAGCAGAGGAACAACACCGCTACTCCAAATCGTACTTCAAAAAATGAAGGTGAAGCACATCCTTCTTCTTTACTTCGTCCAATCCCTTATCCTCCAAGTGATGTCACCAAAAAGAATGCAAGCATAAAGGAGATCGCAGTGTCAAGCTTGGACTCAGAGGAAAAGCCCATCTCCAAGTCTTTTTGGGGGTTCAGGAGGAGTTCAAGTCTCAACTCAGAAGGTGTCCAAAAGAAGAGCTTGATTTGCTCATTCCCACTTTTGTCGAGAAGCAATTCAACTGGTTCGGCTCCGAATCCCAAAAAAGCACCACAGAAGCAACCATCTATTACATTGCGAAAATCGTCGTCAACATCATCGTCTTCTTCAAGTAATGTGAATTCAAGGCCTCAAAAGCCTCCGTTGAAGAAGAACAGCCACGGAACTTACAACGGGCACAGGGTTAGAGTTAGTCCAGTATTGAACGTGCCAACTCCTTCCATTTCGAAAGGGACGGCTAATTTCCTAGGTTTGGGTTCGTTTCTGGGGAATGGAAAGGATAAGAAGATTAGGAGATGATTTTGGTAACTGCTTTTTACTAGTCTTCCTTATCTAACATCACCAATATTATACGTGTTTGTGTACTCATGTTTGGTTCATACAATCCCCAGTTGACTGTGATCAGAACAAAACCAGAGACCAGAAACAAGAAAGAACAGGAATAACAAGAAGGATCATAGATGAGCTAATGAAGAGATAGAGAGAGAGAGAGAGAGAGAGAGAGAGAGAGAGAGAGAGAGAGAGAGAGAGATGAAAATAGAGACAACATAGAATCTTGGAATGTTGATATCTAAGGAATTGTCATCCCCTTGTTTCAGGGCTGTCTGCTGTCCTTTTGGCTTTCTGATTTCTCTTCATTCCATGGCTCTTTCAATTTTTTTTCCTTTATTTTTGGGCGTTTGTGTTTATTTTAAAAGGTGCTTTTGGACTTTGGTTTGTGATTGAAGATACTTTGTTTATTTAATCACTATGGATCTTTCTTTATGAGAATGCCTATCGGTTTAGGTCACCTTCTCCCTCTGTCATAGGTTGGTTTGACAATATAACAAATCCAGAAGAATGGTTTTGCTTTTTGTGATTTCTTGTCTGCATTAGCTTTAGCTGATAGAGAATGCGAGCTAATCATGGAAATTGGTCTGGGCACTTTCTGGACTGATTCGCTACTCTTGAAGAAATATCAGCATGTTATGAAGAAAACATTTTGCTTATAAATTTCTATAATTGAGAGTTAGGCAAGAAAAAGGTTGCCCGACTGAGAGCTACCTGTGGAAATCTTCACCAAATCACAACAATCGAACTGTTCTCCCACAAAAGAAACATATACATCAGGATCGTTCTACAGTACCGTGCTAGAAAACACCGGATAGCATCCCACGAGAGTAACTTTCTCAATGTGACGGTAATGTCCTCAAATGTGCAGTAATATAATGTTAATGAATGATTCATGAACAATAGATGGGCTTGGAGGCCCAATAAAATGGACAAGCCCATGTAACTTTGGATGATGCTGGTTCTTGTGTTTCCAAGTTGTCAACTACTGACCACAATCCCCCCAAAAGAAGTGTACGAAGATGGTGCTTTTGTGAAGCTTGAAGCACATGAGGTACTTCCTAAATATTAAAAGCCTGGACGGAGAAAATTTTTACAATCTCGAGATGGTCCAGGTTGCTTGATAGTGTTTACACTCCAGGCGCAAAAGATTGCCATGTACTCATGGCAGGTCGATGATCTGCTCTACTCTCGCACTCTAATTGACAACTTCAGAGTATTTGTACCATGTGTGATTCTTCTTTCCACACACCAATTTGGCATCTCCGTTCAACTGTTTCGCATGGTGCTTGAGGGAGGGGGGTAGAGAGATTTCCGGGTCTTGTTTCTCACAAGGAGGATTTGGAATTGCAATCAAAGAACTTTGAAAGGACAACTCGATACCTACCATTTATAATAGGGCCCAGAAATGTTGGCACAACTGGTTTGGGAGAGTTTCTCCGCTAATCAGTGAATCCAAGGTACAAGATCAACTAAGCATTTCCAGGAAAAGTGGAAAACCACACAAACGTAGGAAAAAGCAAGTTATCTCCTTACTCCTCTGAGCACACTGGTAGCTGACACGTGATGATGACGAGATACAATAAACTGTCATTGTTTGACTAAATTAACAGATTCAATACAGTTACAGGAGTTTGCAAACAAAAGAATTGACACCTCGAAGTTTATTTAGGCACTCCTGGAGCTTAGAACTTCATACCTTCTCTGTCGAAAGCTGGCGCGCAGATGATCAGTACCACTGCTAGGGAAGATTTCTGAGACGCAGGCGGTTAGAGGTGGGGCCCACCGAATCCAAGAGTTCTAGTGCCCCTAGGTGCACCCGATAACAGCTCCCTCGATGACACCCTTATTAACACATTATAGCAGCAGCATTTTCCTAGTTTTGATATCTGCATCAGTTAAAGAGTTTCTGAGATTTACATGACAGCTCGATAAATTCTAATTGGGTAGCACGGCATGCAACATGACATTGGTAAAATAGACTCAGTGGACCTGATTCATTTATCGGTACATCATCTTTATTTTTATTTTAACTTATGCCAATGGGCACATAAGTTTGATGCGTCAAGAAATAATAGTCCCATTCCTGCACTGAGGTCATTGGATTCCATGCAAGTAACCGAGCCACTGAAGCTTTTCATGCTGATCATTCATCGAGGATGCCAAAACCAAAAAGCCTACAAGTTCCTCCATAAGTCATACATACTAATTACTAGAATATTTCTCCCTCTGGGTCCCTATGCCAGTTGAATATTGTTAACTTCCGAAAGACCGATAGAAGATGCTTGGATAGGCAACTTGAGAACCAAAGGAATGCTAGAAGGAAAGAATTGATTCTATTATCATACAAATTAGTGAATGTGTCTCCCTCTATCACAAAGACTCTGTTTCCCTCGAACTTTCTTTATTCTTTTCTCTTACTTTACTCATCTTAATCACTAACACTGCAAGTCTAGAATGGAAGAATTCTGGGAAAACTTGTCAATGAAACTAAAGATACTAACACAACTAGAAGCTTCTGATAGATTTGAAGATTTGAAACAGCAACATTGTTTGAGCAATGATGACTACCAGCACCACAAAAATATAAACATCTGAAAGTTCCTAGACGAAGAAAATCAAAAGGAATCACTGAACAGTCATTTTCTCTGAGAAAAGAGCATCCAATGGCTGAGGCCGTGGTATCGTTCTTAGTAGAAAGGCTGGCCAACCTGCTAGTCGGAGAAGTGAAATTGTGGTGTGGTTTAAGCGGCCAGCTCGAGGATCTGTGCACCGAACTGAAGCGGATGCAAAGATTCTTGAGAGATGCAGATGCGAGACAAGATGAAGGCGAAATGATTCAAGCCCACTTGGCGATGATCAGAGAAGTCGCCTATGATGCTGCGGACATCATCGACACTTTTGCCTTCAAAATCGCATCACAAAAGAACAGCAACCTTCGAAAGTCCCTCAAGAGGCACTCTTGTGTATTTAAAGAATTAGTTGAATTCCACCAGCTTGGATCTGAATTGGAGGCTATTAAGTCCAAAATCTCTAGCTTTACCCTCAGTTTCCATCAATATGGTATGAAATCTATAGATGAACAAGAAGTCTCAGATGGGACATACAAAAGGCAACCCGAGTTGAGACGATCGTATTCTCATATCGAGGAGGATGTCGTTGGGTTTGAAGAAGACATTAAGAAGTTGGTGGAAGAGTTGGTGGATGAAAAGAAAACTTGCCCTCTGGTTGCAATATGTGGCATGGGGGGTCTAGGGAAGACCACAATAGCTAAGAAAGTTTACCATAATGTGAATGTGAGGCATCATTTTGATCGCTTTGCTTGGGTTTATGTATCTCGACAATGCCAAGTGACCAATGTTTTGAGAGGAATGTCGTATAAGCTAATCTCTTTTTCAGATGTGGGGAGGGATCAAATCTTGAAACTGACAAATGAAGAGCTGGTGAAGGAAATTTACCAAATTATGCAGAAGAAGAAATGCTTGGTGATCCTTGACGCCATCTGGAGTGTCGAGGCTTGGAACCGCTTAAGTCCCGCCTTCCCGTTAAGGAATGGACGAAGCAAAATCTTGATCACTAGCCGTGTACAAGAAGTGGCAAAAAGAGCAGATCCAGGAGTACTCATACATGAGGCCCGGTCTTTGGATGAGGAACAAAGTTGGCAGCTGTTCCAGAAGAAAGCATTTCCACAAAGGGATGAACCAGGTACTCCCACCAACTACAAAACCATCATCATCTGGCATAGGATTAACTTTCTTTTAAGTTCATTAATGAGCACATGATTAAGAATAGTATTGGCATACAATAACTATTTTACGGCGCTCCTTTACATTACATACACATAAAATATAATGTAAGCGGCATAATAAATCGCCACGCCATACTTGACGCTTTCTTGCTAATGACTACATTGATTCACTATCCACGTCCGCAGTCCAACTCCTATGAAACTAGACACCATATGGCACAAACAGACATATAATAGATTTCTTTTCAAGTTTTCCTACGTTTGATTCACACTATGCGTTTTGAATAGAAATGTCCTAGAACAGAATAATAACCTCTAGACAAATCTCTTACTTGACCGAGTGAGCATATTCTGATTCTGTTTCCTTCCTAGAATTACATGTTCACACGAATATTGTGGAGTTGGGGAAGAAAATGCTTAGAAGATGTGCTGGTCTACCATTGGCTATTACTGTGCTGGGAGGTCTGCTTGCAAAAAAGCATTCATTACACGAGTGGGAATTGGTAAATGAAAACCTAAATTTATACCTAAGAAGAGGGAAAAGCTATGATGAATTCTCCGAAGTGTCCAAAGTTTTAGCTTTAAGCTACCAGGAACTTCCATATCGACTGAAACCATGCTTCCTATATCTGAGCCATTTTCCGGACGATTCTGACATTCCTACGAGGAAATTGATCCAGATGTGGATGGCAGACGGTATAGTGTCTGAAGATGCAATTACGGAGGAAGTGGAAGATATAGCAGAGACCTATCTGTATGAGCTCATAGATAGGTGCATGGTTCAAGTGGCAAAAGTTGGTTCTACCGGAAGGGTCAAAGTGTGCCGTCTCCATGACCTTATGCGAGAACTATGCCTGTTAAATGCAAAGAGAGAGAATTTTTTTGAGGTCATTCATCAACAAAATGAGAGCATGTCAGTGGAATATACAAGTTCCTCCACGCCTCCTGTGTTGGCAGCAAATGGTAGAATCCGAAGGCTCGCACTCAGTGTGGATCGGAAAGATTCCAAATTTGTCCTCCCCTCTCTAACGAGAACGGAAGCATGTTCCCACCTGTGGATCCTCTTGTACTCCCAAGTAAGAAGGTTCATAGTGAAAGATAGGCAGCTAAAGCATGTTTTCAACAACTTCAAGTTGCTTAGAGTCTTGGACCTTCAAGGCATGGAAAGTCCTGTACCATTAAAGTTACCCAAAGACATAGAAAACTTGATTCACTTGAGATTTTTAAGTTTCCGAAATGTTAGTGTCGTAACACTGGAATTACCATCATCCATAGGAAACTTGAAGTTTCTGCAGACCCTAGATTTGAGCAAGAACTCACTTGCAGTAGTACCAAATGTGATCTGGAAGATTGAAGGTCTGAGAAACTTATATTTACCTCGGTGTTGTTATAATTTCACTAATAAGATGCAATTGGGGAATCTGAGAAACCTGCAGATATTGGTGAACTTTCCAGCAGAGATGAGCCCGGTGATGGACCTCCTCAAGTTAACCAATCTTAGAAAGCTGGAACTGAGTGACCCTAGATGCTTCGACGAGGTGGGTAAAAGCTTCAAGACATCAGGCACAACATTAAGCCGTCTCCAATCCTTGTCATTGAAGAATACTCATCAGGGATTCACCAAAGAGATCAGCTTAACGGAACTCCTGTTGGGTTGTCCTCACATTCACAAGTTGCATGTGGAGTGTAAGCTAATGAACTTACCGACACCGAACCAATTCCCTCCAAGTATCTCCAAACTAAGCTTGGAAGATTCTGAACTTGAGGAAGATCCAATGCCCATCTTAGGGAAGCTGCCAAATTTGAATATTCTTTGCCTAATAAGGCGTGCCTACCTAGGTAACGAAATGGTTTGCAGTGGAAGAGGTTTTCCCCAACTCAAGTCTCTTGTCCTAAATCATCTGGACAACCTAAAGGAGTGGAAGATGGATATAGGAGCAATGCCTTGTCTCTCCCGACTAGAAATCTCCGATTGCGACAAGCTAATGTTTCTCCCACGGGAACTAGAGTTTGCTACTTGCCTTCAACAACTAGAAATAAAGTACATGCCTTTCCAGTTCAAGAAGAAGTTCGACAGAGGAGGAGAAGAGTTCCATATAATTCAACATGTATGCCAGGTTGTGCTGTGAACAATAAGATTTTCTCCAGGTGAAAATTTCAGCAGCTGTTCTTGAAACTATCTCGTACAAAGTCCACCTCAGACATGTAGAGTTTCTCTCCACCTACTTATATTGTATTTACCACTTGAATAAAGATCTCTCTCTCTCTCTCTCTCTCTCTCTCTCTCTCTCTCTCTCTCTCTGTCTCTCTCTGTGACATGCAAATTGCTAATTGACCGCTCAAAAAATGAAAACCGCTAACCGAAGCCGTGCATATGTAAACCAACTTCAAGTTCAACTATTGTTATCCTACAAGCATCATGGACTCAGAATATTGGTCAAAACATGGAGGCTCAAAGGGCGAGGACTTCTTTCCATTCTCATATCACTAGACTATCCTACTGTTACGGTGACAAACAGAAAATTAAGAAACTATGACGCAGACACACATGTAGATGATAGCTGCTAACAGAACAGCTTAACTCAGAGACGAAACCATCTGACAAACACATGCTGGGCTCAATCATTATCAAGGAAGAAATGGCAATAACATCCTCAATGAACAAACTTTAACATACCATGAACTGATCGTCTGTGGGACAGAGATGACCACGTCGATAATACAATCAGCGAAAATTGCGTCTTTGGACTTCGGGCACGGTCTTGAACAGAATCAGAAAAAAAAAAAAAAACTCTTCTTGCTTGATCTTTGCTAATTGTCTTCCTTCTCCAAAAAATTTGAAAAAAGAAGTATAAATATTAGACCTTTCGAAATAAGTCCATAGACCCAATTCCTAAACCCTGGGTTGAGTTGTTATACGATTTAGTTATATTCAGTAAATGGATCATAATTGGGTTTAAACATAATATGGATGAGTGTACAGCTTATTTAGACCCAACCCATTTTCACGACTCTTTCTCACTCACTCCACACTTTCACTCAGTTTGGAAATAAATATTTTTAGATTGGGTTAAATATGGAAGAATTTTACCAACATGGGTCGAGTATGAGTCACTAGATTTGCATTGCATGGAAATTGGTCAAAACGGGTTAAATGAGTCTATTTGGGTTGGACCATTTTTGACCCGATCCACCAGTTTGACGGGTCTACTAAATATTAATATATCGTATTGGAAAGTTTTATTTCCAAATATGGGTTTTTGGGAGAAAGAAAAGGGCTAATTCCAAAAAAAAGCACAAACTTTAGGTCAAGTGACAATTCTGGTCTCAGCTTTTTTTTGTCTCGTAAAAAAGCATCAACTTTAGCTCAAGTGACAATTCTGGCTAAAAAAAAATCACAAACTTTCACTCTTATCCTTAATCTAGCCCCCTGTTGACTTTCTGTCTGAACTCACCCTTATTTGAGAAAAAAAGTTATAGTCGTGAGCTTAGCGAACCTCATCCATGGTATTTGTCGACGGGCAGTGGTCTATAACTTCAAATTATTGACAAAACGACAAACTTTGACCAGAGAAATTCAATTTGGAGATCATTTTGACTTGCCGGTGATGTGAAGGAGATAAACAGTTTTATTGTTATTCTTCAAGCTGTGGCTTAGAGAAGAAAACAATGAATAATGCCTTTAATCCAGTCAGCAAGCCACGTGGATTTATTGCTGAAGTGAAATAGTCAAGTTGGATAATAAATGGTTCTAAGTCAATGGTGGTCAGATTTGGGATTTAAGTTAAAGTTTGTGATTTTTTATAAGACAAAAAAAAGTTGAGGCCAGAATTGTCACTCGACCTAAAGTTTGTGCTTTTTTTTTTAATTAGGTCAAAAGGAAAATGATACCCTCTCATATAATTTCCAATAATCTCTATTAGGTCAATAGATTTTTTATATGTCTGATAATCCATTTTGAAAAAGATAAAAGGTAAACGTGTTATCAAATATCTAATATGGTAAATAAGACAACGACTGTAGAATAGCCTTCTAATTTCTTATCAGGATCGCAATCACATTTTAGATAACTAACTCGAAAATTCTTAAATTCACATCATGAAGCTGGTTATGATAAGATCTTGCATTGCACTCGTCCTTTTTTTTTTTTGCTAAATCGAACCTTCCATTGCATCAGAAAAGTACAATATTACACAGAAGAGTTAGAGCCTACATCAACACGATAAATTAAAGAAGACTCCGCTAACACTAAGTTTTTGACTCTAGGTGGGAGATCATTAAAAAAGAAAGACGAAGCATTTCCCAAATGATAAAAAGCCCATTTTGCAAGCTCATGAGCAAGAACATTACTAGATCGTTGATCCACTTGAAACTCCATTTCGGGTTGTTCTTTGAGAAGTAAGCGAGTGTCCGAGACGAAAGGATGAATACACCAAGGACAGATGCCCTTTTATTGAATAGCATCAATTAACACTTTACAATCACTTTCAAAAATCGCTTTGTGGATGCCGAGGGATTGAGCAGCTTTGCATGCGAGAAGAAGAGCTGCAGCTTCCATTTCCACTGGCGAGTTCCGTCTTCCTCGTCTTGTCCACGCTTGGACAGCTGAGCCTCTATACGATCGTGCAATAATACCTATGGCACCTCTGTTATCTTTCCACGCACCATCTACATTAAATTTCAACTCTTGGTTTGATGGAGGAATCCAAGAGTTTGACCTTACCCCAATAAAATCCGGTTTCTCGCTTAACCTAACTTTGTCCTCCCTCTTGAACATATTTGAATATTCCAAGAAATCTTGTATGATCATCTGAATCGCGTGGGAAGGCACTGGAATAGTCTGTTCATGTAGCTTTGCATTCCTGTAACGCCACATTATAGTGCAAAGAATTGCTGCATAAAGGGTGAAGAGCTTGCAATCCACTCCCGTTGTTTGTGCTATTTTTCCTGGATCAAGAAAGTGATTCACCATCTCTTCTGGAGACCTGAAGTTCCAAGCAGACGAGATAATACCCCATGGGCTCTGTCTCCACAAAATTTGGGCTAGAGGACATCTTGTGAACAAATGTACTGAATTTTCCTCCGAAGCTCCACACAATGGGCAAGAGGGGTCTGAGATATGGATCAATTGAAACAAGTTAGCTCGACAAGGTAAAACGTTAGACACTATCCTCCACAACATCATTTTGTGTCGCTCATGAGCTCTAGCTTTCCAGATTTTGTTCCAAATCCCACTATTGTTACCATTTTCATTTTGCAACTTTATGAGTTTGTAAGCAGATTTAACAGAAAACACTCCATCGATAGCTGGATGCCAAATCAGTTTGTCTACCCCAATGGAGTTTGGCACATGAATCTCAAGGATGGCTTGTACTGAGGTTGGGCAAAATGTCTGATTTAGACTTAATACATCCCAAGTTTTTGTCCCTGGGATAAAGAAGCTTTCTATCTTTCTGTGCTTCAAAGCAGGGTCTGGATCAATAAAAGAAGGCATATGAGTTGAGACATTAGGAATCCAAGGGTGATTTCCGACCTCGATCGACTTTCCATCCCCTATTTGATATAGAGTTCCCAGATTAAGTATTTCTCTGGTATCTATTATTGCCTTCCACAGAGGAGAGGCTGATGCCTTGACCTCGTGATTCCAGAAATTTGAGGTTTGTAGATATTTCCCTTCAAGTACTCGAACCCATAACTTGCCTCTATCTTGGATCATTCCCCAACCGAGCTTCAAAAGCAAAGCATTGTTGAAGTCCCTATTCTGCTGAAAACCCATTCTTCTTGTTTCTACACAGAGAATCCCAACATTTAGGTGTAAAATATCTATTTTTCTCGGTTGGCACACCCCACCAGAATTTCCTTATAGAGGCATCGAGTCTGTTACCAGTACTCCGAGGTAACCGACTAGATTGCATAGCATAAATTGGTGTGCTCTGAACAACCGATCGGATATATGTTGCTCTCCCCGCCCAAGATAGTGTCTTTCTTTTCCAGGAGCTAAGTTTATTATCAACCTTTTGTTCAAGGAATTGATATTTTGTCCTACTTTTTCCTGGATTGAAGAGGGGATTTCCAAGGTACAGTGATTCAGGATCTGTCTTTCGCATGTGGAGCTCATCCATACAAAACTTTTTCATGCCCACAGAAGTATTTTTAGAAAAAAAGACCGACGACTTCTGATGATTCAAGCTTTGACCTGACCACGAGCAATAAATTTCAAGGCATTCCTTCAGTGCTCTCACTTGATGTTTTGTAGCTCTAACAAATAACAACAAGTCATCGGTATATATAAGGTGAGTTAAAGGTGGACTTTTTCGCCCTACTTTTATACCTGTAATAATCTTCAGATCCGCTGCTCTAGATAGAATTCTGGAAAGAAGTTCAGTAAATATCACAAACAGGTATGGCGAGATAGGGTCACCTTGTCGAAGTCCCTTCTGAGGTTTAAGACTTCCCGCCAGTCCACCGTTAATAAGAAGAGAATAATGAACCGACGATACACATATTTTTATGAGCTTGCAAAAGTGAGACGAAAACCCCAGACTACAGAGTATTGCATCAAGTATATTCCAATCAACTCTATCATAAGCTTTTGACATATCAACCTTGACTCCCATGAATGGACTCCCCTTTCTTTTCTTCCTCATGGAATGTAAGATTTCCTGTGCAATTACGGAATTATCTTGAATGCTTCTGCCCGGAACAAAAGCTTATTGCTGAGGTGAAATGATACGACTGAGGAACCCTTTCAGTCTATTTGCCAACATCTTAGAGATAAGTTTATAGCTCACGTTGCATAAACTTATGGGCCGAAAATGGTTAAAGGTGTGTGGATTATGAGTTTTTGGGATGAGTACTATAAAAGTATGATTGAGAAGATGAGGCAACTGCCCTGTGTTAAAGAAATGTTGCACAAATTGGACAATATGGGCCTTCACCACTTCCCAGCATTTCGTGTAGAAAATAGCATGGAATCCGTCTGGGCCTGGTGATTTAAGAGGGGCCATCTCTTTCAAGACGCTATATATTTCATCATCAGTTGGAATCGCCAAAAGATCCAAGTTTTCTTCGTCAGAGACTACCTTAGGGAAGAGTTCTCTAATGAGAGGGTGTGGATCAAGTGATGGTC